GTATAAAATGAGAAGATTTAGACACACCGCGTCATTAGTCAACGCAACCGATAACATGGAGAGCGATTTGATAGAGGAAGCGGTCCAGCTGAATACTAGAAAAGAGTACGTCGCATGGAAACAACGATGCGACGAATTAATAGAGTTTATAGAAGAGCAGAATCGTACCAAGCGTCCGCGCCTCGCCGTTGGACACAGACAATCCGTGGTGGCGAGGATCGCGAGGCTCGAGAGTTTGACGGGTTCGGTGCGTGGAAGATTCGTGCATGTGGGCGCCGGTTACGGACTTCGATGGCGCGAGATTGAAACAACATTCGAGAGTCTTATAGTGACAGGCGCGGTGATAAACTCTAATCATATCGAGCTGCGGCGGTTTTTGGAAGACGCTGGCGATGTAGTGCTAGAGCGAGTCCGAGACGCTGTGGAAAGACACGGTAGTGTGAAAGTGAACACAGCGTTCAATGGCGACTTCGTCACAAAAGACAAACGTGCCAATAAAAGTATAAACACGAAGAACAGCGAAATATATAGATGCACCGATATGCGTGAGTGGTACGAACGATACGTCATCGAGCCCATTAGCGTCGCTGGAAGAGTTTCAAGAACGCGACAGCTGGTGGGCATTGTCTCGAATTCTCAACCTAACTGTTAATGTAAACAAATTGAATCCCATGCACGCGGGATGTCACTTCGAGGTGCCGCGAGACATAGCGATGAAACGAGCGGTGGTCAGTGTGAAATCCATGGACAATGCGTGCTTCGCGTGGTCAGTGGTCGCCGCTCTGTACCCCGCAGAAAGACATGCAGATAGAAAATTGTCGTACCCGCATTACACTACTGTGTTAAATCTCGCGGGTATCGAGTTTCCAGTGACTTTGAAAGACGTTCTGAAATTCGAACGCTTAAACGCGGTGTCGATCAACGTGTATGGCATCGAGAATAAACAGGTCTTTCCTCTACGACTCACAGGCGACAAGAAGGAGAAGCACGTGAACGTGCTGTATCTACAAGATCCACGCAACGATGGTGTAGGCCACTTTCCATGAATAAAGGATCTATCTCGCCTCGTGAGATCGCAACTAACTGGAAATAAGAACAAGATGTTCTTCTGTGATCGGTAAGTATAATAAGAAAAGTAAATATATAATAAGGAAAAAAAAAATATATATATATAAACACTATGTGAAAATAAAAAATAAAATTATTTGTATATG